CAGTGTACTATCCGTTCAATGCTTGCAAATCGTTCGATGTTTGGCTCCATTCCTTCAAAATGTGCAAGGAGTTTATTCAGTAGAGATAAACCTTCTGATAATCCCTTTCCGGCTCTTCTTTTCTTCTTTCTCTGCTTCTTCTTTTCTTTCTTCTTCTGCCAATCTTTCTTCTTCCAACGTCATTAGCTCTTCATTTGTAAATACTCAGGATTCTAGGTTTAAAAGCTCTTCGACATCTTCCACCCCGTGGTCGTAAAGTCAAACAATCCGTAAATCGCTTAAGTCGACGACGACATGTATATGAAATTCGCTTGAGTTTTTAAACCCAATAGACATTCAAAACACGGAGCCTCATTGAGAGTTGAACAATCCATGGAGACTGGAAAAAAAATCTGACGAAAACAATTCTTTCTTTTTATGTGAAGTGTCCTTCCAGGACGTAGGCGATCATGTCTCTTCACTTCCTTCTATCCCTTGTAGTTTTCAATAAGTTTCTACCACCTCCTCCAGACCACGTTCTGTCAACCACTTGCTTAAGCCCGCTAGGCATGTCACGCGTTGCTTTCCCTTGTTTCGCTTCCCCTCTATTCGACCTGTGAGTATCACATTCTTCAAGCCTTCATTTCTCATTACGTGTCGCAGAAACTTCAGCTGCCTCTTCCTGATGTTAAATATAAGCCCCCTCCTTGTTTTCATCCTCTCCAAAACCTCATCATTGCTCACACGCTCGGTCCATATTATCCTCAGCATCCTTCCGTAGAACGACACTTCGGTCGCCTCGATTCTCTTCTTCATCTTTAACCGTTCAACATTCGCTGTCGTTAAGGAGGACAGATGTCACGTAATAGCTCAGTATTCTTTTCTTTGTTACCAAAGAAATCCTCCTGTCTCGCAATATTCTACCCAGCTTTTGGAATGCGTCCTTGGCCATCCCAATACGTCTACGGATCTCAATGTCGCATTTACCGTCCTCTGTCAAAAAACTTCCTAGATATTTAAACTTCCACACCTGCTTGATTTTAATGTCCCCGATCCGCAAATTGTATTTCGGGCTCATCCTTTTACTGATGACCTTGCATTCTGTCTTTTTGTAGTTTATACTTAGTCCCTTTTTCTCGCTCTCCTTGGCAACCTTCTAATACTAGCTTGTTTGATGATGAAACTTAACTCCGTAGCTATTATGTCGAGAAAAGAAATATAGAAGTTTGATAAGAATGACAATATATAAACAAACCTGAAGTAATATTTACTTACTGTCTGTGTGTCGCTTATATAAACAAACAAAAAAAACCTTTAAATAGGCTGAGGCATTCAAACTAATGAAAATAGCTAAATGTGTCGCGTCGTAGTCCTAAGTGAAGCTAAATGAAAATTATCCAAGTTAATATGTGTTTTGGACAGAATAATTGAATAAATAATTATGATTTAATATTTGCTTTGAGACAATACATCGCAATGTATTTTCTGTCTGCTTGAAAATATATTTTCTTATTGTTGCAAAATAAACATGTTTAAAATATAACTGTGGCTTGAAGTTGTCTTATCAAACTGAAATTTCAACGCATAAGACGACAATTACAGTTATAGAGAACAAGCCTCATGACAACTTCAAAGACACTTCTTAGATTTCTCTAACATTGGTGACGCTTGGAATTTGAGTATCAGCTTAATATATACCCTGCAGGTAACCAGAGTATGTTTTCAAATAATTTCTGTTAATAATTTCTTAAAACAGAATTTTTGTCAGTTCGGACGACATATTGACGCTGGTGACCTTTTTTTCGTTAGAATCGGAACCAGAAGTTTTTTTATAGGAGAATTTTAATCGGGGTTACGCCACGCGTGCACAAACCAAAAATGCCCGGATATGGTCAGCGTCGCCACAAGAAGAAAAAAAATCAGAACCCAAGATGAAAATCGAGAGGAAAATATTAAAAAGGTTAGGAAAGAAAAAAAAATGGGTGGTTTTTTTTCAATGTGAAAACAAAGAAAGAGGACTCGAAGAAAGAAAGAAAGAAAGAAAGAAAGAAAGAAAGAAAGAAAGAAAGAGGACTCGAAGAAAGAAAGAAAGAAAAAAAAGAAAGAAAGAAAGAAAGAGGACTCGAAGAAATAAAGAAAATTTAAAAAAAAAAACAAATTGGACTCGAAGAATTTTAAAAAAATTTAAGAAAGAAAAAAAAGAAAGAAAGAAAGCTGGGAAAAAGAAAATGAGAAAAAAAGAAGAGGAGAAATATCTGAAAGAGAGGGAATTTAGGCATGCTACTAGATTGGCATCTCGGTCCCACCCTTTCACTGTCGAAACGGCTAAATGTAGCCATATCATCTACTCCAACAGCTTCTTATCTCGCACCTCCAGTCAGTGATCCCTGATAGCTATAATCTTCAAATATACAAATGTAATGTCAATCGACATCTTCTGATTGCTTGACCTTGATCCCTGTCCTTCTCTTTATCCTTTTCCCCCAAACACCCCCTCTTTTTTTTACTCATCCATATTATAAATCAGTATCAAAAGTGGCACTCTTTTGCATTGCCCTATGGCAGTTTGTTTAAAAAAATAAAAATAAACAAGAACAAAATATGCCTTCTTATTGTCATAGCAATCCCTGCAGATTGTAATCTATCTTTGAAGATATTAAAAAAAGCAACAAAAAAAAAACTGTCAAAATACAAAGATCTTGAAGTGGAAATCTCCAAAATGTTAACATAAGGGCATCAATAATTCCAACTTATATATATATATATATATATATATATATATATATATATATATATAAATAAAGTGAATCCTCTTCTTCTCCCTCCAGCTATGGGTAAATAGCAGGACAGATTGGGTTCTTGGATGGCAACTGGTCTCCGATTCCTTAATCCAAGCCGCATTACTTCACCTTATATCTACTCCTCTGATATATATATATGAAAATGTATATAAATAAAATATATATATATATATATAATTATTTATATATTATATATATTCAACTTATTAATAAAGCGCTCAATATCAGAGATAGAGCTATATATTTGGTTGGATAGATGTGAGTTTAAAAATGCCTACATATGTTTATATATGTATGAGTCCCGACGGACGACCAATTATGTATATGTGTATATGCATACATCGATGTTTGCGTTAGTACGATGAATGACAAAACGACGAAATTTCCCCACCACTTCCACAATAACACCAATACATATATCTATATAAACCCAAATTTTTAAAACATTAATCAGTTTGTCTGACGATAGCTAAAGCGTGAAAGCCAGGGTCACAAACTCATTTCTATCCGAATATAATATATATATATATATATATATATATATATATATATATATATATATATATATATATTAAGAAATGGACAAGGTCCGACAATTTATTTATTAAAGACATTTTTTATGTTTAACGTTGTTATTTATAGATACAAGTATTTAAGCAAATGCTCTGTTTATGATATCTGTCAAAGAACGAATATTTTCTATGAAAGTTTCTCGGACATTCAAGCCGGTAAATGTTATTTAATACTGTTTATCATAAACAGAGCATTTGCTTAAATACTTGTATCTATAAATAACAACGTTAAACATAAAAAATGTCTTTAATAAATATATATATATATATATATATATATATATATATATATATATATATATATAATATTATTATATTATTAAATATAATAAATTATGACGTATTTTTAAACCTAATTTTTCTTGATTTGCAAATAATCAAACCAATACCAAAGGGAAAAAAAGATTATAAAAGAAGAAAGAACAAAAAGAACATGTACGTCAGATGAAGATAATTGTCTAGTATCCATGTCCAGAGTCCAAAAAAAAAAAAAAAAAATATAGTAAGTAAAATAACTAAAAATAAAAGTGCTCAATACGCTAAGTAGATATAGAAAAAGAATTAAACCTAAAGAAAAGACAAACCTGTCAGGCTGCTTTAGGTTTAATTTATATATATATATATATATATATATATATATATATATATATATATATATATAATTTCACATATATATATATATATATGCGCGGTGCTTGTTGAAAAATCCTATATATATATATATATATATATATATATATATATATATATATATATATATATATATATATATATAAACATTTTTTGTGCATACAGAATCTTTTGTACAATTTTTCCCACCCTATTAAATCTCAAACTAGATAAGATAATATTCATATAAATTACAAGTTTTATTGTAACTTAATTATGTAAAATAATGTATCATATGCAATATAGGTGGACTATTCAACTAGAAAAATCGGAAATAAATACAATGTATATAAATACAAATTAGAGACATGTTATAATATATCATTCCATCTGGAATAAATCAACAATGTTTTGCTGCAATTTCTACCATCAACTTGAGATTTTTTTGTACACATTCAACTTTATGGATAAAAAAACTGTGAATTTTTTCCGAGACAAAACATGAGCAAAACAATCACGGATTTGGACGAAAAGAAAAGAAAACAAGAACGACGTCAAAATTCAAGAAAATTTTTCATCCTTTAATCTTCAGTTGTGCATAGTTTAATTTGTAACGGATTATAGGTAGAAAAAAAAGTATAATGTTGATAAGATAACGAGGGTCACAACTGACTGCCCGGAGCTCTCAATCAGGCTTCCTACCCGGTTGAGTCTAGACAATGAAGGAAACACTCGGAGCATTGGCTCGAGAATCACTTTCAATGGCATGCGAAACTTAATATTTACAAACCTTTTTAGGAAAAAAAAATTTTTGGTGATTGAGAAAGAGGTAAATTGTATTGTAAAGAAACCTGGCATGTCGAAAAGGCCAGCCTGATTTGAAAATCAAGGTATACTATCATTTATCCCGGTTTAGAAGCGAAACTCCCATCAGTGTGGCGAAATAAATAACTATATTTTGTTCAAATTTTTTAAAATGTTATAAAAGCCATTAAAATATAGTGACCACTAGCAATTGGGTCATCTACGGCAGTAAGTGATGGAATGCGAAAAACCCTTCCTATCAGTCCAAACCGAATCTGATCGCTTTCTTTCAGTTTCTTCATTTCTCTCTTTCCATCTATCTCACTCTATTCATATCTATCTATCTACCTAGCTAGCTAGCTAGCTAGATAGATAGCTATCCCTCACGAAAAATATCTCGGTATTTCTCATCTTCTCTATCTATCTATCTATCTATCTATCTATCTATCTTATCTATCTATTTAGTCTATCAGATTCTATCTATCTATTTATTTATTATCTATCTATCTATCTATCTATAACTTGGTCATGAATCTAAATTATTCAAATCCCAGTTCTTATATTATCTATCTATCTATCTATCTATTCATTCATCATCTATCTATCTTAGTCTATTGATCTCTCTCTCTATCTATCTAAAATCTTCTATCTATCTATCTATCTATCTATCTATCTATTTTCATTTATCTATCTATCTATTATCTATCTATCTATCTATCTATAAACTGAGGTTTGGTCAAATGCTAATTATATGGATCTCTCTATCTATCTCTATCATATCTATCTATCTATTCATCTATTCTATCTATCTATCTATCTATTTTAGTCTATTTTTTTTCTCATCTCTCTATCTATTCTATCTATCTATTGTTAGATTTATCTATCTATCTATCTATCTATCATTAAAATGAGGTTTGGAAATTGAAATACTAAATTATTCAAATCCCACTATCTATCTATCTATCTATCTATCTATCTATCTATCTATCTATCTATCTATCTATCTATCATTTTCTCTAGCTTTTCTCGACTGTCACACACACACATATATATATATATATATATATATCACTGTTTGAAAATTAAAATGATAAATTATTTAAATTATCTATCTCTATCCTTGTGTTTATTTTTCTTTTATTTCATTTTTCATAATTTTCTACTCCCTTTGAATTAAGTCTTTCTTTCTTTCTTTCTTTCTTTCTTTCTTTCTTTGCCACCAATTCATTTATTTCACCAATTTCAAAGAAATCTCCAGGACACCGCACTTTCTTTGGCCAGAAGTGGCATCGTCACCACGGTACCAGAATCTATGCTAGTGACATTGTGTCCCTGCTACCGACTCCATAACGTCAACCCCCGCCTTTAGAGTCACGCCAAATTATACCCTCCCACTTTTCCTCTATCACTTGCTCCTTCAACTCTTTACACAGGGGTTATCTAGTACTCAATAACGACGTTTCGTGTGAGTTTATCGATCTCTTGCCCTGTAAGTAGGCACCGTCAATATCTTGGCGCTGATATTATGATGCAAGTAAAATGTCGGTGAGGTTGCGGAGTGGGGGGTGGAAGTGGATAGGTTGACAGGTGTACTCAGCCGACACGCACCGACTTAATTTCCAGCAGAATGCTAGATATGTTTGCCTATTTCTTTCTTTCATAAAAGCCAAAAAATCAGCGCCCGAAAAGCGGTTTTAATGGTTATCACTTTTTTACCAGCTTTGTTTTGAACAAACCATTTTCTGTTTAGTTAATCAAACCTATTTGTATGATAAATATTAATAAATAATAATATTTATCTATCTATCTATTGCAAAGAAATTGCAAAACATTATTTTTCATCTATCTATCTATCTATCTATCTATCTATCTATCTAATATTTATCTATCTATTCTATCTATCTATCTATCTATGTCCATCTATTCCAAATTGGTCTGTCTACTATCTATCTATCTATCTATCTATCTATCTATCTATCTATATTCTATCTATCTATCTATATCTATCTCAGTCTGTTCATATCTATCTATCTATAATATCTATTCATCTATCTATCTATCTATTGATATCTATCCTATCTATCTATCTATCTATCTATCCATATATATCTATCTATATATCTATCTATCTATCTATCTATCTTTTGATTACAGTCTGTGCATATCTATATCATATAAATCTATCATTTATCTTATATCTATCTAGTTGCCATCATTAGACTTTTATTTCCTTTTGTTATCTCTCATTTCATCATCTTACTTCATTTCATGTCATTTAAAAAAAAAGAATCATTGTTGTTTTAATCCAGGCGAAATCATCATCTTAGTTTGTTTTTCTGAACCGTGTTATCCAAAGATCAAATTGTTTCTGTCATCGCACTTCCGCCTATGTCGGATTATGAACGATCGCAGCCAACCAATCAATTATTCCGACTAATATCCTAATCCTTTCGTCTTTAGTACGAGTTTAGATGAAAAACAGCTGATTAATGTCCAAAAAAGATTTAAACAAGGTGAAGAGGAAAACTTTAGAAATGTGAATGATTTATAGAGAGAGAGAGAGAGAGAGAGGGAGAGAGAGAGAGGGAGAGAGAGAGGGGGTGAGAATGTTGCCCGCATAGAGACAATATGATAAAGACTGAAAGAGAGAGAGAGAGAGAGAGAGAGAGAAGATAAAAGACAGACAAATAAAGAAAGAAAATAAATAAAAAAAAAGAAAGAAAGATATAGAGTAAGAGAAATATTTATTTGAAAGAAATGGCTGCATAGAAACAGAATGATAAAGACTGAAAGAGGGAGGGAGGGGGGAGAGAGAGGAGTTACTGGAGGGAAAAAAATCAAGAGAAATAAAAAGTATATGCAAAAAGAGAAAAATGATAATTCTATCTATCTATCTATCTATCTATCTATCTTCTATCTATCTATCTATCTATCTATATATATATATATATATATATATATATATATAGTAGATATAGTAAGGCGATGAAAGAAATTCGAGAGATAAAAAAAACCCGACAATAATGCTAATGATAATAATAAGAAGAATATTTATTGTATATTAGTAGACCTTTTGACCAAATAGAAACATGATGTGAAAAGATGTTAAAAATCAGAATTTTGGGATATGATTGTTTTCGGACGCTCTCCCTCACATACACACATGTGTGTGCGCCTCTGTGTGTGTATGTGTGGCTGTCTGTGTCATACTGCTACTAAGCTACCAGAGTGTTATAAAAACAAGAAAAAAAAATGACAAAAAAAAATAAATAAAAACGTAAAAAAAAATTCTTTAATACAGGAAAATAAAAAGTGTGTCATAATCCCAAGTGGAAATTTCAGTTTAGAAAAAGCAACTCCAAACAGAAGTGGAATAAATCCTGAGACCTTCAAAGAGATACAGACATTATTACAGGGACTACTAGTTCCACGTGATGAATTTTGGTTTGTCGTTTCCTACGGTGTGGGAGATGTTTACTTTTTTTTTGTTTGCTTGTTTAACCTTCTGCCAGTCGATTCAGTTGTTAGTCTCTATTCTTCATTCTCTGAACCGTCTGAGAATCGCTTCCTCGCTTGAAACTCGTAGTAACGATGAGACTTGGTTTTCATTGACTGTCTTGGATTACACGACACACATGCATATATATATATATATATATGTATATATATATATATATATATATATATATATATATATATATATATAAAAAAAATATACTGAAAAAAAAACAAAAAAATCCTAATATTTATGCTGTTTTAATGTTTAATGTCAACGTCGGACGTTTCGGTCTAATAGACCATCTTCAGGATATATTCATAAAACATAATTAATATAGACCATATACAATTCAACATGAAAAAGACGATGGACATAAAAGCAATACCAATCCAAACAGATAACTGAAATCGTTTATAAGATCAGTGTTCCGTTTAAATATGATCACGTCGTCGTCACGTGGGCGATGTTGTGAAAACGTGACGTGAATCGTTTTTGGTGTAAAATGTAATCTCGCTTTGACGTGGGGAAAGGGATTACCATCAGTGGTAAATGAAATCCGAATTTTTTTTCGATTATTTCCTTGAGAGATCCACTTCCGGCTGAGCAACTTGAAAGATAAATAAATTGATCAATCTATTTAAATTGCCCGAGCTCTCTCTCTCTTATATATATATATATATATATATATATATATATATATGATATATATGAAGAAATATAGTTTTAAGATGTGCTATATTTATGGGATAAAGTGCTCACTATCAGAGATAGAGCGTGTGTAAATATAAAAGTGAACATAGAAGTCAACACTTAGAGGCGACAGTCTGTTTTTATGTTATTTGCAATCGTCAGGCCTGATTTTGCATTTATATATATATATATATATATATATATATATATATATATATATATATATATATAAGACTTTGTCCATTTATATATATATATATATATATATATATATATATATATATATATATATATATAAAAATCCTGAACAATTTTCTGCCTACGTCAAATAACTAGAATTTAATATATTTTTAGACCAGCAAAATATTTGCCCCCTAAATATTTGCACAATAAGTAAAACGACACTGAAGAATAAATCAATGAAAGTTTTATGACTTTTCCTAATTCAACCAAGTTCAGAATTTCGTGTAATACCGCTCATCAGGGTCAGATTGTTTGATAAATCTATTGAATTATTACCAGCTGTCATATTTGTACTCTACAAAAAGGACGCTGATCGTAGATGCCAAATTTGATATATAACCGACGCTAGAGTCTGTTCAAGGAAAACCCAGATAAACGTGCCCACCATAAAACGTAGTCTCAAAAGGACGGCTTTTCCGATGACACCGTTTTTTTTAACGACCAATAAAGGTCGTTAAAAAAAACGGCAATATTTATGATTTTTAATATCGATGATTAGAATAGGGAAAAAACCTAAACATATGATAAAAGTGAATTTATACATTTCTTTTTTGTACTTGAGATTTTACAGCAAAAATATTAAGCATTATTCATTTATTAGATTATTTATTTACAAGAATAATTTTATATTTACATTTTAAAAACTAATGTAATGCAGTATTTATCATTTACCAATTTATAAAGAAATAAATGTGAAAATTTTTTTGTTTATAACTTCATAAACATTTATTTAATTATTAAAATATTGAAAAATAAGAAAATGCTTATTATTTACCATTTTATAAAGTTTGAATCGATTAGCAAGTAGCCTATGATTTTCCAACCATTCCAATATGTAGTCTAATAAATAAATAGTGTTTATTATTTTTCTTGTAAGTTCTCAAGAACAAAGAAAATGTATCAATTTACTTTCATATGTTTAGGTTTTATTACAAATTTAATCACCGCTTTTTAAAACAATAAACATTGCCGAAGTGTGAAATTAGTTAAAGAAGCGGTGTCATGGGAAAAACGGTCCTCTTTTGACACTTCGTTTTATTGCCAACACGTTTATCCGTGTTTGATGCGTTTAAAATGTAACAACATTTAAATATTTATAAGAAAATGTTCGGTATTTTTTTAAACACTGGAAACTCGATAACGACAATAGAATTCGGAAAATTGAAGTATTTAAATCATTACATTGATTTATTGGATATATTAAATAACTCGCATTAAATAAAATATCTTTCACCACCGGCAACGGTATCTTGAAGTGTATATGGAATATTTAATATGTGCATTATAGTGAACTTCGTATTTGAAATAGACGCCTTTTTTATACAACAAAAAAATGTGTATCATTTCGATCGGCATTTGCATTCAAGAAATCTTGAAACAAAACGAAGTTCTCGAGCAGGGATCGAACCCGATTCATTCTTCAAAGAGAAAACAGCTGTATTACTTGGTGTGCTTTAACACACGACCATTAAGAACAGCGGAAGGCGAATGGCTTTTTTTTTCCACGTTTTAAGGAAAGCAAATCCTTTACACTCAGATTATTTTCTCGAACGCGTCAAATTTGCTCAGTTTCACACCCGAAACGTAAACAAAACAATTTCGAAATAATTAATGAATTTATTTTCAATCCGACAATTTAATTATGTCAAAACTTTATAATAGTAGACACATCGTATATGAAACAGGCGTTTATTTGAATTTATTAAGCAGTGTTTATTACGCCTACCGGCTTGCGCATTCAAGAAATCTTAGGAAAGAAAATGCGTTTCTTCGACACGGATTCGAGAATTGTTTATACATGAACATTTTTTTTTTAAACGTTCATATATTATGAACATTTTTTTAAAGAAATAGAGAGGGGGGGCATTTATACGCCAGCCGGCTCAAGCGGAATGTGACCCAAAGTAGAGTTAAAAGTAAGTCCTAACGCGTACATTGGCTACGGACAAAAAGTGCTGAAGCTTCTTTAGTATTTCCCTAGATGTCAGGTAATGACAGCTGAGCTCACCAGAAGTAGAAGTATTTCCTAGTGAGATATCTTAAAAGCCGGCATTTAAGCTAGCTCCTGCGGATGGCTCTCGATTGGGCCTTTGGCTTGTTCAGGAGTTTGACAGTTCATATTCTCAGCATTGGAAGCCTTCCCGACTGTCGTTTTCATTTGCACGGGACTTTCTTTTCCTCACTGCAGCGTGGGTTCTTTTGATTGCAATCTGATCCTCTGTTGGCGGAGATTTCTTTTTGCGAGGCATACTGCTGCCCGTATACGATAGGCAGCAATAAACTACAGAAGAACTCAAAATTGATTGCTGCATTTAAGTATTGCATTAAACTTACCTTTTAAAAGTTCAACGATAATTCTTCTGCCGCCACTTTATTTAAAGACCATTTCATGTACGTAGGTCCTTACTTTCCGTACAAACAATTATTTTTATTTCATGGGTGACTTTCGATGGATTTTGAAATTAATTTAGATTATTCCTAAATTTATTTCCAAGTTATAAAAATTGTTATCGTACAAAAAACTCGTCACAAAAAATCGCCGAAAACTATCGCAGTAATGAAAAATTGGGAATCTAAAATTTCTGTAACATAAGCTATTGAAAGTTAGAGAGTTGTGTCCCTTTAATTGAAAAAGTGTGACACTGTAACACACTGACATTTGCATTTATTACATAGTAGAAGATTAGCTATTGAGAGTTGTGTCCCTTTAATTGAAAAAGTGTGACACACTGACATTGGCATTTTTTATTATATACATGATTTGCATACTGGCT